ACTGTGGCCCACATTTGCCTTCTGTCATTTGGGTCAAATTGATCATTTTCCACATGGGCCACATTAGGCTCACATTTAGATTACATTTTGCCATAGGTGCCAAATTTTTGCCTTAAATGGCCCATATATGAATTTAAATCTTTGGCCCCCCTTTGCCATTGTACACGTGGGCCACTTCAGGCTCACATTCATTTTGTCTGGGCCAAAAGAATACCACCAGTGCCGCATAACTTTCAAGAAACTGCAGTCAAATTAATGTTGAACTACGTTTTTGTGGTTTGACAAAAATGTAAGCTGAATCCCTTATTTTCAATGAGCCTGTGTCTTGAACATGAACGTCTGGCATGACATGGGGTTGAGTATTCTGTGAGTGCAAGTTATTTAACCGATTGGGTAACACTTTAGAATAACTATCCGTTATAACTAGTTAATAGACCATTAATAAACTGTTAGTTAACAAGTTATAAATGACTTGTTAAACAAAAGTTAATAGTTTGTTAATTATTTACAACTGTGCCTTATAGATGGCTAATAGATAACTTACAAGCCGTTAGTTGACAAGTTGTAAATGACTTCTTAACTGTATTTTAATTATTTATAACTATACCTAATAAATTAGTAATAGATCATGAACAAGCTGTTAGTAAATAACTTAATAAAGGCTTGTTAAGTATCGGTTAATAGTGCATATATGTTATTGGGACGTTATTCTAAAGTTGCAGCTATTCTTCATTTATTAACTGTTAGTAAATGAGGAATAGTTGGAACTTTAGAATAACGTCCCAATAACATGCTTAAGCTAATAACTAACACTTAACTATTATATTTACTCACACTTTACAGATCAGTTGTTCACCCTATAATAACACCAGTGAAACTTTTTTATTAGACCACTGGTGTAATTTTAAATTTTTATTTATTTAGTTTTCATGTTTAGCACTTCATGGGTTTGTATTCTTGCATACTGCTGTACTGCCATGTCATGGTTCAGTATGTGTGTTTCTATACATTAAAGACAACTTTTAACATTTCATCTGTGGAGTTTCTTTGGTAAAACACAGCACACAGAAAAGCCTATAAGTGGAACAAGGTTTAGAAACAAACATTTTATATTTTAAATATTACATCAAATTTCTGTAGCTTGAACTTATTCCATCCATTTGCTGTTCTACAAGGATTCATTGGTATTAGTAGATGGTTAACAAACGATGAACAACTCTCGTCTGTAAAGTGTGAGTAAATATAATAGCTAAGTGTTAGTTATTAGCTTAAGCATGTTATTGGGACGTTATTCTAAAGTTGCAACTATTCCTCATTAACTAACAGTTAATAAATGAAAAATAGCTGCAACTTTAGAATAACGTCCCAATAACATATATACACTATTAACTGATACTTAACAAGTCTTTATTAAGTAATTTACTAACAGCTTGTTCATGATCTCTTAAAAATTTATTAGGTATAGTTTTAAATCATTAAAACACAGTTAAGAAGTCATTTACAACTTGTCAACTAACGGCTTGTAAGTTATCCATTGCCCATCTATAAGGCACAGTTGTAAATAATTAACAAACTATTATTTTTTATTTAACAAGTCATTTATAACTTGTTAACTAACAGTTAATTAATGGTCTATTAACTAGTTATAACGGATAGTTATTCTAAAGTGTTACCACTGATTGTTTTTTTTTGTAATACAATGCTCAGAGTAATACAGAATGAATGTTTACCTCAGAAATGCGATGGGCAGTACAATGGGGAAACAACACATGGCCTCAAGATGTTAGACCGCCAACACAAACACAACGGTGAGTAAATTATCAGGAAATGTTTAATTCTGGTGAGAACCGATCATCTAGCTGCTTGTTTGCATGTAGGCAATCATAAACTGACCTCCTATTAGAACAGATGTTTTTAGCAGAGGCCAGACACTTATCTGCAGACATGTCCGAATGTCTACTAAATCCAAAACAAGCATGAATTCACTTTTTAAAGCGTTCAAGTATTTTAAACACAGATGAATCATACGCAAGTAATGGCCATGATAAAAAGGAAAATGTCACACTTGACATAGGACAGGAGGCTGACTCATGCTTTATAGAAAACGCTGACTCAAATGAGAAACACATCATTCCTGTTAGAGGATCCCATGTGGGAACGGGAAAATCTGGAGGTGGGGAGTGTCAGAAGTTCACCCTCTGATTCACAATAAAACTCCCACAACACTGGGACGACTTGACCCCGTTTGTTCTTCTCTTGTTTTTCTACATTTCCAACATTCAAACCTCCTGTTGCTTTAAAATTCAGCATTAACAGATTCCCCTTCTGCTTAAAAATGGCACTTCTTCACTAAACCTCTAAAATAAAGCAGCTAAATTTAGTTTCAATCCTCAAATAAATTTTGCATGAAGAAACAAACTCATCTCCCAGAGATGGGTTGCGGCTGGAAGGGCATCCGCTGTGTAAAAATGTGCTGGATAAGTTGGCGGTTCATTCCGCTGTGGCGACCCCGGATTTATAAAGGGACTAAGCCAAAAAGAAAATGAATGAATGAAACAAACTCAACTTCATCACAAACTCTGTGAATGTCTAGGGTTTCCCTCATCAGTGTGCAGTTTAATCAGAAATCACTGCCTGATTTTGATAAATGTAAAAGCACAGTATATACACTACCTGACAAAAGACTTGTCGCCTATAAGTTTTAAGAACAATAAATAATAACTTGACTTCTAGTTGATCAATTGGTAGAAGTGGCTTCTGGATTACGCTTAGTTTACCAAAAATAAAATATGATCATGCCTTGATTTTTAATTATTTAATTAGGAGAGTATGTTCTGACTTTGCCTAAACAAAATTCTTGTCACGTAACAGAAATAATGTCCAGTATAGAATATAAAGTCATGGTGCAGTGCAAAAAGAATGAATGTTGTGTCTGACTCCCATGAGCTTGGAGGTCTGCATCCATACATCTCTGCAATGATTCCAGTAACTTATTAATAAAGTCATCTGAAATGACAAAGAAAGTGTTCTTGCAGGACTCCCAGAGTTCATCAAGATTCTCTGGTTTCATATTTAATGCATCCTCCTTCATCTTACCCCAGACATGTTTAATAATGTTCATTTCAAGAGTTCACACTTAGCTCATGATTTATACATAGCTTGTTTGGCATGCTGTCCCGGGAGAAAGCCCTGAGCTCAAGGGATCCTCGAGCCCAGGGCTCCCCCCCTTTTGCAGGGCGAGTGGAGATTGAGCTCGGGTCTATCTCAAACTCCCCCGCTGCTGAGGCCAAGGCGAACTTCCTGAGAGTAAGACATTATAAAAAAGGTTTAGGATTGTTTTATCTATAATATAGAGCACATTTGGATGGTGGGAGGAAACCGGGGAACCCGGGGAAAACCCACGCGGACACGGGGAGAACATGCAAACTCCACACAGAAATACCAGATGGCTCAGCGAGGACCCAACACCATTGGTATTCTTGCTGTGAGGCAACAGTGCTAGTCACTGGGCCACCGTGCCGCCCATTCTGGATAAAGGAGGAAGAAGGGGAGGAGGGGGGTTTCTTCCAGACGAAGATAGTTGTAGAAAGGAAATGAGGATATATATAGTGATTTGGGATCCTTTGATTGGAGGATCATAAATAGTTAATGTGGACCAGCTGGGTAAATCATGAGCACATGCTCCTCTCGAAATTAGTTTAAAACTAAATTTCACATCTGGTGACTGGGATGGCCAATCCTGTAGTGCTATCCTGCTGAAGAATTTGCATTCTCCCATGGTTTGTAATGCAATGGGCAGCACAAGTGTCTTGATACCTCTTCGTTTTCCAGCACGTGTCTGACTTATCCTCCCGATCTTTGCTCTGTTGAGAGCATGACCCGTACTTGCTGAGAATCTCCATGTATGTTGTTGTCCTGATGAAGGTCTGAGAATTCCGTGCGCGCCTTCTGCAGCCGCTGCTGAGGAGCCATACCGGTGCTGTTGCTGTTTATTCAATTCTTTGTGGATCTATGTTTTTTGTATGTTTGTTTGTTTAATTAATTATTTTGGCTGAGGTAATATTGTTAAATGAATTATCTATATTTTTGTTGCCACTTTATTTTGATAGACATGCATTTTTGGTCTCTAAATAAATAGAGAATGTTACTTTTCGAGTTACGTGTCCTTTTTATGTTGCTGACCCCTTCCTAGATGAGCATTAAAAAATTGGGGTTCGTAACGATTACATACTTGTGACGGTTGCCCAGATAGCATACCAATGTGGGCCACTTCAGGCAGTTATGTGGCACTAGTGGCCTTCCTTCAGCCCAGACAAAATGAATGTGAGCCTGAAGTGGCCCATCTGTGCAATGGCAAAGGGGGGCCAAAGATTCAAATTCAAATATGGGCCATTTAAGGCAAAGATTTTGCGCTTATGGCAAATTGTAATCTGAATGTGAGCCCAATGTGGCCCATGTGGAAAATGCTAAATTTGAGCCAAATGACAGAGGACAAATGAGGGCCATATTTGGCAAAATAATGGCAAAGTCATTTAAGGGTAATCTGGGTCTAAACCTAAAGTGGCTCACATGTGTAGGTGCAAATGTGGCCCAGTTATCTTAAGACATATGTAGGACACTTTTGGCAAATATTTGGCACCGTAAGCTCTGGCTATTGCGTTTGTGAGCCTAATGTGGCCCAGAGCAGATATGGAAAATGTGGCCCAGTTATCCTAAAACATATGTGGGCCACTTTTGGCAAATTTTCGGCACAGTAAACTATGGCTAATGTGTATTTTAGCCTATAGTGGCCCAGAGAAGATATGGCAAATGGGGAACAGTTTTACTAAAACAAATGTGGGCCACTTTTGGCAAATATTTGGCACAGTTAGCTCTGACTAACGTGGGTGTGAATCTAAAGTGGCCCAGAGGAGATAAGGCAAATGTGGCCTAGTTATCTTAAAAACAAATGTGGACCACATAGACTAAAGGTTGGAAGTGTTCAGCTTTCTGTTACTCACCATACATCTTTCCTTCATCTGAGAGGATGATCTTTCTGCGGCCACAGGGTGGATAAATGGCCAGAGCCTCCTGGAAGCTTTGTTCAATGTCAGGACTCCAGACGCCCTCCGCATCCCCGTCCATTCCGGTTTTGTCCATCCCGTCCACCTCATCCTCCTGGCCCTCCTCCGGGCTCTCGCTGGTGCTCCACTCGTTGGCTGCAATGGTGGCGGCTCCACCTGGGCCCCTGCGTGAGCCCTCACACCCAGCACTGAGAAAGAGCACAAACAAGGTCACAAACAGTTCATGCAAAATATTGAACGCTGACATTTAAAAATGAAAACATGAAATATTTTTTTATTTCATCTCAAATCATCATAAAATAGGGGTGTTTAATTATAAATAGCTGCGTCATGCCGATTAGGTATTCCAGCGTGTAGACTTACTGTCTGTACTTTGGAGTATTTTGTTACATCTCTGAGTGTGCAGCATTAATTCAAGAGAAAGACTTTGTTTAAACCAATCAGCGTGTTCTATTGTGTATGCGGTGCAACTTTATTAATATGCACGATAGCTTCGAAGACTATTTTGACCTCTTACAATGTTTAGACAGCAGAGAGATCCCATGTTGTGTTGCCAAAACAAGTGTGAGAAGAAGAATTGTTTGGAGATACGGGTCGTCAGTGTTGCTTTTATAATTTGCTGCAGTGAAGGTTTCGTTTTTATTTTCCTGCTATGAGAGCGCAGCTGGACTCACGTGTGGATTACAGTTCATGTGACGCGCAACAGAAATACGTGTCTGAGGAACATTTTTTACCCGAGAGCTTTTCTTATCTGGAAATGGTGAAATCCGGAATTGCTGCTCGTCTCCTTTTAATAAAGACGCGGCTCCAGTTGGTGTTGATTGTCCTGTCTCTTCAGATATGGTAAGTGAACGATCAGTGGTCTTTGTTTGTTTAATCAGATGGCAAAGTTAGTTTGTATCTGTAATAAAGTTCACGGCCCTTTGGCCGCCGGGAAGAAGGAGGCGGAGAACCGACGCAGGTTTAAATTATTTATTAATAACAGTGACGGCAGCTCCTCACGGAGACTGCCGTCTAAACCAAAACAAACGGACGGCAGTCTCCATGAGGAGAAAGCAAAACTGAAAGCAAAAGTAAAATATGTCCGGGCCCGGTCCTCTTTCGGCTTCCTCTGCCATCGTTCCTCCTTTTATTGTCCAGAGCTCCTTCCATGGGATCCGAGGCAGGTGCGCACCGCAGGTGTATTCACTTACGCGGTGGCCTCACTCCATTCCCACGGCTCTCGGCTACGCCCCCTCGCCACAGTATCATCAGCAGTACTCTTTCAGTTTTAAAAGACAGACCTTAGTCAAATGATTTCTAAGTTACTAAAGTTTACAGTACGTTAATATCACTATAGTATTATGGGTTGAAAGATCCGCTGTAAATGCGGCTCTCTGAGTGTAAACATGTAAACATAGCTATCAAACTATTAACGTCGTGTAGGATTTTCTCTGCATTTTGTGACATGAATAACACACACGGCTTTCTGATGCTACTTTTTGTGCATCGAAGTTACAGAGAAATGCGGAGGGTTTTTTTCTCTCATTCGCCGTGCGGTATCAAACATTGCTTTAAAAAATACACTGCTTCCAGCTGTTCCTCGAATCAAATATCTCGTTTATATCTGAATGAAAGAGCCAAACTGCAGTTAAAGTCCACCATTTAATAATTTGGCAAATAACTCCATTACTGATGTAAACATGGTCACTGTCTTTCTCCCCTGCGTCTGTGCCTTTGTTTTGCCTCTGTGAAAATCAGCATGTACCTTAACCAAAACTCCCATTTTTATGCAAATTTTTATACACCTTCCCTCTTTTCCTCCTCTGACACTCCCCCCTAAACAAAGCTGGACACGCCCACTTTCCTGACTTTTTTTCAAACTAGAGGTGTGGAAACACCCTGTTAAAACGGGGGTTTCGTGGCCCTTTAATAATAATTTAAGGAGGTGTATAGTGTGTGTCAAAGCACCTCATGTTGCATTGGGATGCTTTTAAAAAGGTATGACAGGGATCAGTTCAGTGCAATGCCCAGGCTGCCATGCCCACGTCACACTTACCATGTGAATGTAATAATGACCACATCTGAGATATATCCATCTGCTATATGCTCAAGATCTGTATATTCTGCACATGAAATTGTTTTAGCAATGAATTAGTACATCGATAAAGTCTTTTTTATATATAAAAAGTTCAATCAACTTGGAGATTTCGTTTCAGTGACAGATTTTGATCCCATTGTACATCCTATTGGACAGACATATTTGAAAATATCCTGATCTTAAAGCTTGCCATGTTACAAAAGATTTTAAAGTTTAATTAGTAAGTGCAATCCCACTTTTTTTACATGCAATCTTTAAAATATTGGCAAACATATCAATAAATCTGAATAAAAACATTGCAAATGTGGCTGTGTCTGGAGTGAAGTGAAACCATGCTGCTTTTCAGTGTACTGGATTTATTTAAAATTACAACAACCCGAGCCTTACCGCCATTTGATTGGATGACAATCATCCACTCTTATAGACTGCAGGCTTTAAATTAGACGAAATGCTCAGTAACCACAAAAACATGGGCTGACATGTGACATCCATTGTAATGGACACAAGATCTGCAGCGCATGGAACTCTCTCAGCCATCGTAAGAAAGGCAGGCTTGGAAAGAAACGCAATCAGCCATCTTTAGCAGTCTGTTCTAGCCTGTCTTACAATAATTGGTTAATTGAGATGGCTCAAGACCACTGGGAGGGTTGACAGTAACTATCATTCCAGATGGTGTGACCATGAATCTCCTATCATAGCTGGAGCTTCTCCCAACCCTACATTAAAATAAAAGATCGTGCGGGATCGTATCACCCTTTACATAAACCCTGTCAATCAAGTCGTCCCATTATGCGACAGAGGAAAGTGGAGAATTGGAAAGGAAAGACAAAATGGCTGTCGGAGTGGAGGACACACTGAGCTGCCGAGCAAGGCGCCAGATTTTTCAGACTCCTGATGTCAAGTGAAGTTCAGGTGACGAGATATCAGATTTTCAAGGCCGTGCTTTACAGCTTTCGTGAGCGGCAGAGTATTTATAGCACTGGAATTGAAAATCAAGATAACCTACTGAAGGCACTGATAAATTTCCTTCAGTGTCAACAAGATGGGCTGAGCAAGACTGGCTGCTCTCACGGCAGTTCACAAATATGTTTTTAATACCGATTTTACAAATTGGTTGAATTATATATCAGCTGTTTTTTCTTTATTCAATATAAGCTTTTCACTTATCATAGCATACGTGCTTCTGATGATGTGACAATAAAAGTGATTTGATTTGATGTAATTTTATACAAAGAAAAAAACATATTTGGTCAGAATGATTTGCATTGCAATGGGTAAAAAAAGCATTGCTTTTCAATTTTATATTACTAACAAAAACATATTAAAGGCATAATTCCCCTAAAAATGCTAAATTAATTCTTTATGAGTTTATTTCTTCTGTTGAAGATGAAGCAAGATATTTTGAAGAACATTGGAAACCTGGAAGTCACTATGGAAGTCAATAGGTTCAACTTCATGCAGTCCAATCGAAATCTGTCTTATAGCGGTCCCAGATAGCGAATGTGGGCCACTTTAGGCAGTTATGCAGCACTGGTGGTTTTCCGTTGGCCCAGACAAAATGAATGCAAGCCTGAAGTAGCCCACCTGCACAATGACAAAGGGGAACCAAATACTCAAATTCATATATGGGCCATTTAAGGCAAAGATTTACCACTGGCAAAACGTAATCTGAATGTGAACCCAATGTTGAAAATTAACATTTGGCCCAAATGATGGTGGACAAATGCGGGCCACAGTTGGCAAAAATAGTAATTTAAGGGTATTCTGGGTCTGACACAGTAAACTCTGACTATTACAGCTGTGAGCCCAATGTGGCCCATATTTTTCAAAATATAGAAAATGTGGCCCAGTTATATTAAAACATATGTGGGCCACTTTTGCGAATATTCTCCACAGTAAGCTATGGCTAGTGTGGATTTGAGCCTATAGTGGCTCAGAGAAGATATCTGTCCCTCAAATTCTTCTTTAATGTTCTGATGAATGAAAAAGGAGACCATATCTTGGCCTGAAGGTGAACTTGCAGTAACTTTTCATTTATTTGGATGCTCTGTCCCTAATTTCTCTGCAAACCACCATTTAACTGCCATTGCTCTTCGAAAAATTACCATTTGGACTTTCATTCTGTTCTGAAGTCACTGAGTCCAAATGCAAAATGAATCTGAAAAGCAGCGTAAACTATTAAGAACTGCCCACAAAGCATATTTGTGGCCATGGATTTGGTGAGTGCTCTCTCCTCTGCATTCAATGATCCTGCAGCATTCCCTGACACAAAACTGTTTTCAATAGATTCATCATTGCTAAGCTATATTTAACTGTGCTAAATGGTGGAGGGAAATAAAAACACCAATACAATTTGAGCAGAATTCCTTTACGACCACACTGGCATTAATTCACAGATGTGCCCAGTCTGAAATGTTGACTTGAAAGAACTGAAAATGTAATTATGTCCACTATATATATATATATATATATATATATATATATATATATATATATATATATATATATATATATATATATATATATATATATATATATATATACATACAACAGTTCTGTCTGGTTCTTGAATCTGATTGGCTGGTAGCAGTGCGATATTTTGCCAGTAACATCACACAAAGGCCTCTTCACCCTTCACCTCTATGTATTACTCCACCCACATACAGCAAGCAACAAGCAGGCTACGGTTTGACAAATATTACTGCTATTAGACAACAAAATGTACTTTTGAGGCTTTTTTAGTCGAGAATGTAGCTATTTTAGTCGAGAATTGTAATTATGCAGTTTATTTGTAAAAATAGTGCCTATTTTAAAATATTTACAATTACTTAGAGCTCGTCGGCAGCCAAAGACCGCTGACATTGTCTATCCAAAAAATGCCGCCAGAACCGCATAATAAGCCCTTGCTCAGTGTGTTCTCTTGAGCGCGAATAAAAAGGGTGAAAAACAGACCAGATAGAGTCAATAAGAAGCTGCAAATAAGAAGCTGGATTCAGCCTTGTCCCTCCTTATCGCAAACACAACAGCAGTCTGGTGAGAAATCTCTGTAGATGGATGGTATTTCATGTCACGTTCAGCCTTATAATCTTAAAATGTGAGTAAAATTTG